GAGTGAGCCCTTGGTTCAGTTCTCATGCTATACTGCGCTTGCACTCACAGGGGAAGAGATGAGTTTCACTAATGGGTTATGTAGAAGTTGATTGTAGATCGATCTGAATTGGCTCAAATCGAGGCGTAGACGGTGCGCACGGGCGGCGTGGCCTTGGGGTCCGGCGGCAGCCAGCCGGGGAGGGGCCGCTGCTCCTGGGTGTAGTAGGCGCGGAGCACGCGGCAGACGTGCGTGTCGTCCTCCGTGTCGCCGTCGTTCTCCGTCTGCAGGAGCCGCGACTGCAGGCTTGAGAGCTGCGACGTTGTGTTTGTGAGTATGTTCTTGTACCACGAGGCCATGGTGGGCTGCTCTGTGTGGGTGTGGGTGAGAGAGAGAGAGAGGAGAGAGAGAGAGGAGAGGAGGAAACGGTTGCTCTCGTGCTGTCGGGCTCCCCTTTGTCGGCCTGGGCTTGCTTTGTAGTGTTCAGGCTCCTTCTGCGGTGCTGCGGCGCTGCGGGGTGCTCGCAAGGAGACGGAGGGTACGATTTGCTTTCGGGTGCTCGATTGGCGAGTGTCGTGTGGGATACTGCGGATTGCTGGTTCTGTTGTAGAGATGGGCTGAAGAAAAGTCGGACTTGACTTGGAGAGGGCTTTTTGTCGTAGGTGGTCCGAGGTTCGTGCTTGAGGTTTCAACTTGGCGGATGGAACATGAGGGATGGAACATGATCAAAGGAGCGGCGGCCAAGGCAGGTGCAGCCAGTGTCGTTGACCAGAGCTGTGCCCCACCATTCACCGGACCCCACACCTTCACTGCATTGTGCCGCCATGCATTTATCCGATCTGCGACTAACGAATTCTCTAACAGATTCTCCTGACAGAGTCGGGACCTGACAGATATTTGGGAGAGACCTGACAATCACTTCACACAAGTCCATGGGTATAATGTGACATTGCTATGATGACGATGACGATGACAAAAACCTCGTAAGTACCGCCCGAAATCCGCTCGTTTGAACGTGTCCAACCCCCCGCACATGTTCTCACCAGGTGAGCTCCTCCGCCACCTTGGGCCGGTCAGCGACCCTCTGCTTGAGACGCTTGTTGTTGAGCTTGACGGCACGGCCGCGCTTGCGCTTGTCGCCCGACTTCTTCTTGCCAGCGTCGCTGTCGTCCGAGTCCGAGTCATCGTCCTCGTCATCGTCATCCTCCTCGGCGTCGCTGCCGAGCCAGTCCTGGATATCCTCGAGACCCTCGTCCTCGCTCTCCTCAATGTCGGACACGTACTCGACCTCCTTGTCGAGGTCGTCCTCCGACTCGGCCTGGCTGTCCAGCTCGTTCTCATCCTCGTCCTCCGACTCGATGCCCGTGTCCATGTCCTTGTCCCGCTTGGCCTGGCCGTCCTTCTCCATGGCGCCGAGGGCGCGCTTCCAGATGGACTCGCTGACGTTGAGGGGCTGGTCGCCGTAGGCGCCGGAGCGTAACCTCTCGACGAGCTCCCTCTCAATGGTGCGCTCGAGCTTGGCGGCGGCCTCGGCCTTGCGCTCGCGGGCCTCCTCGCGGTTCCGCACCTTGTTGGGCAGCTTGGGCACGAGCTTCTCGCCGAGGCGGGCCTCCTCGGCGGCGATCTTGCGCATGCGGATGTTGACCTGCGTCAGCCGCGTCAGGCGCTGCTTGCACTTGTGGATCATAAAGTTGGGCCAGTAGATGAGCCGCTTGTCAATCTCCTCGAGCGCCTTGGCGTAGTTGGTCGGCAGCTTGATCTTCTCCCAGAGCCGCGACGGCGTGTGGGCCCGCTCGATCGTCTTCATGTAGAGGTAGAGCGTGTCCTTGGTCGGGTGCCGCCGCACCGTGGCGTACCGCGAGTTGGCCAGCGGGCACGACTGCCTGTTGCAGAAGCCCGTCACGTTCATCTCATTTCGGCAGAACGTCTGCTTCTTGTCGGTGCTGCACGCATGGTGTTAGCGGCGCAAAAAGCCCGTGGCGCATCAGCCTCGAGGAGGAGAGAGGAGGGGAGAGGCACATACTGAATCTTGAAAGCACAGAACTGCGTGTTGATGATCTCCCAGATAACGCTGTCGCTCGCCATGATGAACGAATGTAGACGCTTGTCTGAACTTGAGGGGACAATCTGGGTTTCGGGTGACTCTTGTCGCTTTTCTCTGGGGAAGAGAAGGAGAGGGCCGAGCTCGAGGTCGCTCGTCGTCGCTGTCTTCTTGTCTTCAGCTGCTAAGGAATTGGCGGGGGCCTGGGATTTTTTCTTTCTGGGCCCAGGGACAACTGGACATCTGAACTCTACTGAGAACCAGAAAAATTTCAGAGCTGCGGCCAAGCGGCAGGGGTCCCGGTGGTGCGATAAGATAAGACGGCGGAAGCCCGGGGTTGGCAGCCAATGGCAAGAGTCACTTTACACAAGCTCGACGCAACTTCCCCATTTCGTGGGCTGAGTGGGTCGCACTTGCTCTCTGCCGCTCTCTGCCGCTCAATCGAGGTGATGCATCTAAGCCAGTTCAACCTCTCCATCACGAACCTCTCCTTTTCCTCTTGTCACTTGAGGTGCCTCATCTTCCCCAGTCCAACATGAGTTCATCACCGTCCTTCGGCATCTCATAGCGCCCCTGTCCCTCATTCACAGCCAATGCTCCCCATCGCCCGGCCGGTGGTGCTGCGTCTCGGCCGGACTCGGACCCCGTCCTCACAGCCGTGGCGTCACGTCAGCAGCTGCATCTACACCAACACCTGCAGCTTGAGCTGCGGCACAAAAAGCTATGCAGCGCGCGTCTTGTCAGCCCCAGCCCCAGCCTCTCTCCCGAACCACCGCTCCACTGCGTCATGTAGACGGTGGCGGAGCCCAGGGACACGGTTGATGACGACTCGGGTCGAGTCGGCCTTCACCGAGGACACCATCTACGCCCTGTCCACAGCACAAGGCCGCGCCGGCATCGCGGTCATTCGCATCTCTGGCCCGGCCTGTCTGGATGTACGTATGACTGATGCCTTGGGACGTCAGATCACCAGACAGTTGACCGCTTGTCCCAGATCTATCGCCAGCTCTGTCCGTCCAGAACCCTGCCTTCACCCCGCCAAGCCACGGTGCGCACCCTCTACGATCCCAGCGCGCCACCAACGGGCAACGTTCTCGATCCCAGCGCCCTGATCCTCTACTTTGCCGGCCCCAGGACCGTCACAGGCGATGACGTCCTCGAACTCCATGTGCACGGCGGCCAGGCCACCGTCAAGGCCGTCCTCGCCGCCATTCCAAGGTGTGCTAGTCCCTCGGCCATCGTGCGCTACGCTGAGCCGGGCGAGTTCACGCGTCGCGCCTTCCTCAACGACCGCCTCGATCTCACGCAGGTCGAGAGCCTGGGCGACACCCTGGCCGCCGACACGGAGCAGCAGCGCCTGGCCGCCGTCAGGGGCTCGTCTGGCGCCCTGGGCCGCACCTACGAGGAATGGCGCGCGACGCTGCTGGCAGCGCGCGCCGAGCTCGAGGCGCTGATCGACTTTTCGGAGGACCAGCACTTTGATGAGTCCCCCGCCGAGCTGCTGCGCAACGTCAGCGGGCTTGTCGTCGAGATCCTCGAGGGCATCCGCAGGCACGAGGCCGCCGGAGCGCCGAGCGAGCTTCTGAGGAGCGGTATCCGCATCGCCCTGCTGGGACCCCCGAACGTGGGCAAGAGCTCGCTCATGAACCTCGTCATTGGCCGCGAGGCGTCCATCGTGTCGGGCGAGGCAGGCACCACGAGGGACATAGTCGAGGCAAGCCTCGACATCCGCGGATTTCTCTGCCTCTTTGCCGACACGGCTGGATTCAGGGGTGAGGCGAGCCTCGAGAGTGGGGGATCTGTAGGCGCCGTGGAGAGGGAGGGCATCCGCCGCGCCAAGCAGAAGGCGCTCGACTCGCACATTGTCGTCGTGCTGGCCGCCGTTGAGCCGACCCCTGACGGCCATGCGATTGTCTACGACGCGGAGACGGTCGAGCTCGCCGCGCAGGCCCAGGCAGCGATCCTCGTCGTCAACAAGCGGGACGCTGTCGATGCCGCCACCTTCTCATCCCTGCTCGAGTCGTTCCACGCCGAGATAGGCCGGGCGACCCCCGCGCTACGCGACGTGCCCACGCTCGCCGTATCGTGCAGGGAGGCGCAGGATGCCACCTCTCGCGGGACTCGCAGCAGCAGCGGCGGCGGCATCGACACCTTCATCGACACGCTCGCCGGCCTCTTTGGCGACATGACGAGCCTGCCCGTCGAGATGCAGGACATGCTGGGCGTCACGGCGCGCCAGAGGCAGCTGCTGGACCAGTGCGGCGCCTGGCTCGACGAGTACATGGCCATCGCCGAGGCAGGCGACCACCAGCAGGACCCCGACGTCGTGCTCGCGGCGGAGCACCTGCGGTACGCGGCCGAGTGTCTGGCCAAGATCACTGGCCGCGGCGAGGGGGGCGATGTCGAGGAGGTGCTGGGTGTCATCTTTGAGAAGTGAGTTGTTCTCTATCACCCGCTCCTCTTGATCCTTCCCCTTTCCCACCCCCCTCTCCTACCTCTCCTGACATCCAAATGTTGCTGCCTTGTCCTTCTCGTCGAATGCTGGTTCGATATGCTTCATGCTGACTGACATGTGATCCCCCATCCAGATTCTGCGTCGGCAAATGAGACCACCATCCCGCCTCTATCCCGTAGCCTGAGTGCCTGGCAGACGCTGTACGTGTATCGCCCTCTCATACCACCCGAGCTATTGGCTTGGCTTCTCCCGGGGGGCAAATACAAAGAGGGGCCTAGATGCGTGTCGTTGCAGGTTCGCCCGCCGTCAGCGTGCCCCCGTTTTCCCCGGCGGCCGATGAGGCTCAATGTATATTTTGGAACGAAGAGGGAAAAAGGGCCGAAGAGCGTCCCGCGTTTTTGGATCCCATGTTCGATACCCACCCACCCTTTTCACCACCACCCTAAAAATCAGTCGGTGTAAGCCGTGACCATGTGTGAAACGGCCGGCTATAACCATGATTGCTGCGCACACCGGAAGGACAAGGCCGGTCAGCAAGTGGCCCTGGCGAAAGACGGAAAGCACCAATAACATGACGAGGAAGCTCTGGGCTCGAGGCACGAGAGATTGACTGAAACTGAAAGCGCCCTGCAGACCTGTTGCTACCGTTCTGTCTACCTAAGCACTACCTGAGCGCCACCAATCTTTAAAAGCACGCGCAGTCTTTCCGAGAGAGAACAAAAACAAAACACCAGTCTCCACCCGCCCGTGTATCTAACCTGTACTGTAACATGCAACCTGAGAAATTCCCGGCGTGAGCCTCCCAATCTTGGAATGCCAATCCGCGTACTCGTACAAGCTCGTGACCTTGTGGGAGATCGACGACATGCCTGGCCCCCCCTTTCGTCGTTGTCCTCCACACCCCTCCCGCCCCCCTTTTCTATCAGGGCCGCAACACCGTGTATCGTCGTCCAGACCGCCTCCCGCCCTTGCCACGCAGAAGCGGCCGCAGGCGCCGCCTGGCTGGCTCAGGGCTCAGGCTAAAGCCCCTTGATGCCCGGCCCGCCTCCCGCTTACCGGGCCCACGGTCGAACGGCAGCGTCCCTCCTGCCCCACCCCACATCTGACCGTCGATCTGAGACACGGGCGCTCGAACGACAAGGCCAGCCCCCTGAGATATGCGGCGGGCGAGAAAAGGGACAGTGGTGGGGGTGGACCTCTTGGTGGGGAGAGGCTCCTCATTTGTCATCCTCGTCGTCGCCACTCTTGTTGTAGCCCGAACGACCCTTGTTCTGGCCTTCGTCGTCGTCGTCGTCGCCCTTGTTGTAACCCGAGCGGCCCTTGTTCTGGCCCTCGTCGTCGTCGTCGCCCTTGTTGTAGCCCGAGCGGCCGAACGGCGCAGCGGAGGGAGCAAACTCAAATGTGTAGCCGGCCATTGTGAGGATGTCAAGGTGACTTGAGCAAAGTGACTTGAACAGAGATCTTGATGATATGGAGGATAGTAGATTTGTGGTGGCTTGATATGAAGCAGTACAAGCAGGTAGATGAATGGTAGGTGAAGATTTGTATGCTGGTGGAGGAAGTTCAACAACTGCAATGGCTTATAAATGCAAGACTGTGCTGTATGAGAGTGTGAAGCTGATGGTGATTGTTTAAAAAAATCTTCCTCATCAGGGGCACTGGACCCAAGTCTTATATAGAAATCAAAGGCAAGTCTGGCTGACCAGCCCATGACGTCTCAAAGGTAGGTGACAGTGCTGAGGGCTGCGACTGGACCGGCTGGTATCTTGGGACGCAGAGGATGGCCCTCCGCCTCAACGGGAGGTGGAGGGTCAGGGGGACACGACGGAAAAGGCATGGCTCACGCAATTGCGGATGCCGCAAGGAGGTGACTGGAGGACGGGAATACAAGAATATGCGCAGGCGGATGGCAGTGGGCAGCGGTACCTCACTTGAGGCTCGGTGTCTCTTGGGCCCTCAGCTCTCGGTCTGTGTACCAACCGGCTGCTTCTGTGTGGCCAAGGCCTGAGGTCAAGTCCGGATGGGTCCGGCATCCACAGGCAGTTGATCGTAAACCGCATTCTCGGAGGGTGTAGGGTGCGCGTGGACATGGACATGTGCTGTGCGTGGTGCGTGGTGCGTGGTGCGGCAGTAGGCTAGGTTGCCAGGGGTGTGATCCAGGGTATGAATGGGTGACGAACAGAGATGGGGGTCTCGAGACGAATTTCGGGGACGACACCAAGAGACCAGATTGTCAGTATGCCCTGCCAGCGCCCAGAGACCCAGCGACGGGGGGAGGTGACAGGCGGTCGCTGCAGGGCCTGCATGGAATCTCTCTGGAAACGACCCAAGCACCCAATCGTGGACGAATCTAGCCAAGCTCCGTGCGACTCCATAAGGCTGAAGTGGATGATGGAAAGGGTACTCGACGGTAGACCAAGTATCTCGTCAGAGGACATGTAACGTAAGCACCAGCCAGCCACCCCCCCATCGTACCGTACCCTGGTAGGCATGCAATGTACAAAGTAGGCTGCCCTTCTAGTCGCACGATCGTGCGTGTGGCCGGGCTGTGCACTGGTGATGTGCTTGGATGGTGGGCCCAAACTCCGTTTACGACAGAGGAGAGGGGATGAGTAAGGGCCTTGACGCCGAGTAGCACGTGTGGCAGAAGACAAGAAAAGACCGTGGCTTACGCCTAGTACCAAGTGGTGCAGCTCCCAGAGAACGAGGACAAGGGCCAAGTGTTGGTTCCCGTTTCCAGCGTCCGGTGTCCTGATTATGCCTTCCCAGTTGTTGTTCCAGTGCCTGGCATTGCCGCCTGGCATTGGCAGTTGGGTAGATGTAATGCAGCTTGCCACATGCGCAATCCCCCCGGATGACTCCAGGCCGAAGGATGGCAGTGCCGTGGACGAGAGAGTATGACCGTCGGTCGATGATAGCTAAACCCCTATGGCCGAGCAGTCGACAGGTCGCTGCAGTAGAAGGTGCTGCCTGGTAAGGAGTCGACATTTGTCATTTGGGTCTGGCCAACGATGGTCGGTGAATGCATTCGAATGCCGGTACGACGAGCATACGACGAGCATACGACGAAGCATATGGCGACGCCATTGCGTGCCCTTGCCGAATGCACCGGAGAGACTCGGGGGTGCATGGCCCGTGGTGGTCCATTGATGACATAGCGAGGCCCAGGCAGCCCAGGCAGCCCAGTCATCTCACCCGCCAGCGCCCGCGTGACTGGGCCATTATGTTTCGTCGTCTTCCGTTTCGTTTCGTTGCGGTTCGTCTTGCCACGGACCTAATTCCGGTTTGTTCTGTGTTCTGACTGTACGCTTGCTCGTGACGGCCTGCAAGTTGACGACATGGCTCGGTCTTCGCCGGCGGCGTGGGCCTCACGATTGGGCAAGTCGGAAATGAGGCCGTGAGAATTGTCTTCCCATCCCCTGACTTGTTCAGAATGAAAGAGGCAGCCAAAGACGTACGGCGCTCAGCTCGCAGCTAGCAGATGGGGCTCCTCCGACACAGGCTTGACAGGGCATGCGGGGTGGTGGAGAGTCTGACTCCCTACGCTCCCTTGGCTCCTCTGTTGCTTTGCGCGTACATGTACTGGCACCACGAGGTGGAGAGTGTCGGGAGACGGATACGCTAACTTGCTTGCCTTTCAAGGGACTAACCGCCCCTAGTCGCGACAGGTGACACTATATTGGGCCAGCAGGTGATGTGGCGCGCGCAGGCAGCCGTGAGGACAGCGCGGGATGTCGGGTGGGATAGTTCGCGCGAGATACAGGGTCTCAAGCGACAATGGAGAACACCAGCGGGCTTGGCGTGAGATGGACATGTCGTCTTGGATGAATGAGCATGGAGGGGACGAAGGAAAGCGAGCGAGATCTCGGTTCTTGCTGTGAGTGCAGTAAGCGTAAGCACTACACAACCACACAGCGGAAGGGACCTGGGCCGGTAGGCGGAGCAGGACCAGCCCGAGGACCAGGGCAGGGCAGGGCAGGACAGAAGCGAGACCCCACCACACGGCCGCTCCAGCAGGGTCAACCACTGAAACCGGTGGGAGGTGCGCTGTGCTTCAGTGGCTTGCCTGCCTGACCCACCTACCTACCAGGTACCTACCAGGTGCCAGGTCCCTAGCGCTGAAGCGCAGCGCGGCACCAGCGCTTCGGCTCCGCTGGCTCCCGCTCGACAAGCGCCGGAGGAGCGCTGGGGGCCGTTCGCACCAGCCTTACAGCTCCTTAATTCGACGACAGACTGCCACCCCCAACGGTTCTATACTCGTATACATCTTCCAGGCTCCACCATACCGCAAGATTCATGCCTACGACGGCGGCTGGCATGTCAGACGGCATCGCGCAAGCTCTCCAATGAAACGACAAATCGACCACACCCGAGATGACTGCGGATTTCCAAGCCAAAGCAGAATGTCGTCTCGACATGACATTCTATTCCCTTTGCGGCTCCGCGCCACGTGGAAGACGTCCTTCTCCTCGCCAAGGTACCCTGCCACACCACTCACGTCCTCCCCCCGTCTGACAAGACCACGCCCTTCGCAAGACCTGAAGGCACCGAAATATGTCGTCTCACCACCAACCCTCGCTAAGCGCCAGGCGTACAGGTCCAATTATCTTCGGAAGCGCCCAGCTTGGCAGGCCCGATTAGCATACACCCAATCCGGCTGCTGCTGACCACCCTGTGCCCAAAACTCTCCCATCCTCCCCTCCAAGGTGAGTAAGGTAGAATAGCCCCCCCCCCCCTTGTCTGTCATGGCAGCTAGGCAGGGGGGTACATGGTTCAGGCTTCCAACTGGCGACCGATTCCGAGGATCTGGGAGTGCGGCCCCGACAACATGGACGTGGCCCCGGGAGGATGACAATTTTGACTCAGGCGTCCGCCAGCAGCACACCCTCTTTTTCCGTCCCAGCGCATCGCGTGCCGTGTCATGTGGCCTCCCTACCTTCTCTGTTCCTCACTCCCGCTAACCCCCCCTCCATCGCGCGCACCCGTCTCGCCTCGCTCGCGGCACGCATTCCGCGACCCTCCACTCTCTGCCCCGAGGCGTCTCTGCCCCGAGGCGTCCGGCTTTGCCATGTTCGAAAGCCGAGATCAAACCCCGACATATCGGAAAGGCGTCGTGACGAAACCCCCATTCACGCTCCTCATTTCAAATCAAATCCCGGCCCTTACTTAATCAACTCACTCAGCACATGACAACAGGCGCTCACCAGCCCCCTCCCCCTCCCCCCAAATACGCGGTCCGCACCTCTGCGCCGCGTTCCCAAGCTCCGCCTTTATGACGTAGCAGCTCGCTCACCCCTCGACGCGCGCGCAGGACATTTGAAGACAAGTCCGTGATCATTTTGGCCCCCCTCCCCCCCCCCCCCTTCCCGTACAATCATATGCGCGCGATGTGACTCTGAAAGAAAGCGCAAGGGGGGGGGGGAGTGACACATGAGGCGGGCTGAAAAAAGGCAACACGGCTGTTTCTATTTTTCTGCTCTTGACGGATACCATTGTATCCTTGTGGTTCATCCTACAACTGGATACCGAGATGCGTGGTCGTACCGTGGAAACATGGGACGCCCCACGTTCGTAACCGGCAGGGTTGCCCGATTCGGCTCGCCGAAGGGATCCTGCTTTGGACGGTCGAGTGCGGCGCGGACTTGTCCGCAGCAATGGGGCCAGCCCCTGGCGCGGCACCGCGGATGTCGTGAGAACAAGAGCGCGACCTCGGGGGAATGGTTGGGCCGGGGGTCTTCATAGGTAGGAGTGAGTGTGTGCATCTCTGCGTGCACTGGGCTGAGTAATGGGACGCTGGGTGCCTGGAGACTGACTGCACTGCTGCTGCGGAACATGTCATCGGCGATTGGGACGCGGTGCATCGCCCGTTGGACCGTGGTGCATCGCCGTTTGACGGCATCGGGCTTCGCCGTTTGGAAGAGAAAGTGTTAGAATCGCTATTGCCAATGCTCTATCATCATGTGCGTGCGCGCTCTATCATCAACAACGCAATACTTTTCACGTACAGCCTGCCTCCGCGCATTTCGGCTGCATAGAGCACATACACAAACGCCGGATCAAACCATCCGGGCGGTTCAGAGCTCGTCCTTGGCCCGGCCGCCCTGGCTGAGGTCCTCCATGGCCATGATCTTGACGACGAGGCTCGTCCAGCCGGTAAAGTGCTGCGTGCGCTGGCCCTTGCCCGTCTCGGGGTCGTACTGCTCCCAGGCGAAGCCGGTCGCCTGCCAGCTCTCGAAGACGGTGTCGACGAGGTTCGTGCGGAGGCGCGTGTAGATGTCCCTGGCGCGCTCCTGGAAGGGGCCCTTCTGGGTGGCGATGTTCTGGCGCGAGAGAGGTGAGCAAACATGATGCAGGAGCAAACTTGGTACAGACAGGGTGGCGACCGTGGTCGGCTTGGCTTACCTTGAGCTGCGTGACCGCCATGTAGTTGATGGGCATCCAGACGGGGCTCCTCCAGTAGTTCTCGTTTGTTCCGTAAAACTCGTCCTTCGGACTGAGACTCCTGAGTCCGTGGGGGCTGAACAGCTCCTCCTCGTCCGCGAGGAGGTCGAGAATCTTACCCAGCTTGGGGTCCTCGGGCTGCATCAGGCCAACGAGGAAGGGGAACAGCGAGATGTAGCCCTTGTGGCAAACGAGGGCGTGCTCCTCAAAGTCGTCAATGGTGGCGTCGCAGTAGCAGCCGTGCTTCTCGGACCAGTGCAGATCGTCGAGGTTGCGCTCGATGGCGGTGAGGGTCGTCTTGTACTTGTCGACATCCTCCCGCATGCCGAGGGCGTCGGCAATGTTCATGAGCGACTTGGTCATCAGGCCGACCCAGGACATGAGATCGACATGGAGCTCGCCCGGGTGGGGAGGCTGCGGCCGAGGGTAGTCGTCCAGACCACTGGTGAGAATGTGCGTCTCGGTCCTGCCGCGCCACCGGTACCCCTCCTTGGTCGAAAAGGCGTCGCGGTCGTAGGACTTGATGTCGCCGCGCTGCGTCTTGCGGAACCAGTCGTACTGTCGGCGCAGCAGGGGGTAGATCCTGCGGAGGTACTCCTCGCCGAGCTCGACATTGTCGAGGTGCGCCGTCTGGAGGGACTCCTTGGGGGAAAAGGTCTCCTTCTCGGCAGCCCGGGTGCCGTTGTTCTTCCGCAGGCGCTCCATGAAATCCTCAATGATGAGGAAGAGGGTGGGCGGGTTGGCATAGTGGGGGTACTGGACCTGGAACTCTTCGGGGACCTTGCTGCGGGCTTCGGGTCCGAGGATCTGCTCGCGCGCGATCCATCCGTCCTCGTCAATCAGGTTGAACCAGCTCTTGACAATCTCCAGCGTCAGGTCGATATCCCAGTCGGCAATGGGAATGAGGTGGAAGCCCTCGTCCCAGAGGAAGCCACGCGGGAAGAAGGACCGCGAGGGCACGCTGGTGAAGAGCTCGTGGGGACCGTCGAGCTCCTGCTGCTTACGGGCTCGGGCCGCGGCCGCCTCCTCCCAGAAGCCCTCGTTCTCTTCGTCATACTCGGGTGCGTACGACTTGTCGACGAGGTGGTCGCCGTGGAAGAAACCAATGCCGCCGATGAGGTTGGAGAGCATGCTCTTGCCGAACGTCTTGTACTTGTCGGCCGTAAAGGGCGCCTGGAGATCAAAGACGGAGGAGAACCTGCCGTTGAAGAACGCAGAGTTGGTCTGGATCTCCCGAGTGAGGTCGGCAGGCTTGAGCTCGGCGCCCGCCGACGCCGACGAGAAGAGGACGTCAAACTCGAAGGCGCCCTCGAACATCTTTTGCACAATCTGAACGTTGCCGGTTCCGGGGTTGTTCTGGAGCTGGTAGACCACCCACGGAGGAAGCGGGTCCTCGGGGTTGTGCTCCTCCTGCACGGCCTTGACCGACTCCTGGATCTGCTTGTACACGATGCCCCTGGCCTGCCACGACATGTTGTCGGGCGCCTGCAGGGAGTTGACAACGGTCTTGTCGCCGCGCCTCGTTTCCGACAGCAGGTGTTCGCCGGCCGGGCGGTCGCCCTCGCCGTTGGTGACGACGAGCTGGTAGGCGCCGAGGTCGGCCGACTTGCCCTTGAAGGTGATGTCCTGGTCGAACCCCGTGCTGTCGCCCTCGGTGTCGATGGTCAGCTCGGCGCCCTGGCCGTCCTGGGCAATGTAGTAGTGGACCATGGTCTTGAGGTTCGCAGGGGCGCCCTCGCGAGGGACCCCCTTGATCCGAGCCGCCCAGCTGCCTCCATGGGCACCGCCGGGGACCTTGACGAAGGAGGTGGTGATGTCAATGTGATTCGCCTCGTCATGAATGGACTGCACACCGCCCTTGCGCGCGTCGTACTCATCCCAGCCGTAGCCGTTGATCTCGTGCTGCTCACAAGTGTACCGGAAGCCTGTCCTTGTTAGCATTCGTCCATGATGACCAAAAGCAAGACGAATAGAGTGGCTCATCTAGCGCGTACCAGTCTGAACATCTTGGAAGCTGTCGACCTTGGCCCACATCAGCCCAGTCCAGAGAGGGTTGGCAGTCCTGGGCCGGACGCCAAAGTAGAGGTTGGGCTTGTAGGGACCCCAGAAGAGACTCTCGTTGTTGAGGCGCCCAATTTCGCTGGTGAGAATGGATGCCGGTCCATTGCCGGGTGTATCATCGGCCGCCACGACCTGGTGGATGCCGAGGCATTGAAGGAGGGAAAAAGCCAGGACCAAGGCCATGTGTGATTGTTGTCGGCCCATGCTTGCGGTGTTGATTGACTCGAGCAAGCCACTGCTTCTCGAGAGTTTGATTGCGAGGGGCGAAGCTCTCACGTTCTGTGAGACTGACGTAGCTGCCACGGCGGGCTTAGGGTACACGTTTCTGAAGCTGGGGCCACGCAGGGTCTGAGGGGGGTGGTCGCGAGGCTGAGATGTGGCGCGTAGCTACTGGGGCCAATCACAGGCGCGGCAGCTGTGGCGGCGCTCCAGCCCGGTCGTCATCGACAGGCGTGTTCCCGCTGTTACCCCTGAAGCCCAGCGGGTTCCTGAAGCCCAGCGGGTTCCTGAAGCCCAGCGGGTTCCAGTGGCCCAGCGGGTTCCAGTGGCCCAGCGCTCAAGCCTCCACTGGGGCGTCCTGGGGCTGATGTCTCCCATCGAGGTTTCCCACAGGCCAATGGCTGGGATTCCCACTACAACGACCGACCGCTGCTTCGACTCGACTTGTCGACTCTCGGCGTCGACCTCGATTCTATCTCGAACCTCGATATCGACCTACAATACGAGAGCCCTCCACAGATTTGCGCGTCGACAAACCCAAACACGATCGCCGAGCTGTGAAGCGAACCTGCAGCCATCACCAACTACCAACTGACTACGACCCCCCAGCAGCTGACCGACTCGAATACACGATATGGTCCCGGGCCAGCTCCAATCCATGACGTGTGCCCGATGAACGATGCTGCTTTGCGAATACGATTGCTAGAATGAGCCTGGATTCTCTGCTGCCGATTGCGCCCGCGAGGGTCAAGGCACTGGCGCTGCCTGTTGGGCCCATCAAGAGCGAGAGGTTCGCCGGCTTCCTCGAGAGGCTGCGCGAGGAACATGTCGTCCACCTGCGCGATGTCACCCCTGATGGACGGCCAAATAGGAGTGAGTGCGCTGCCTCTTTGTGTGGCCCTCCCTGAAAAAGAGCACATGCTGACCGTTTGGTTCTTTCTCTCCTGCCAGACATGTTCTCGCCGCTGGCCTTCCCCGACGGTGCCATGTTCTACGATCTCAGCACCCACGTGCCGCCCCCCTCGCACCTTGCGCTGTCGCCTTTTGACCTCTATCGAGAGCCACTCGCCGTCGTCGCCATAGCCGACGGCGCAGAGCTGAACCGCGGCGTCTTCAGCAAGCGCCACTCGCCAATAGCGCCGACGACGACCGAGCAGAACGTTCGTGCTTTATACCAGGAGCTCGAAGATCTCCGAGACGGCTTCTCCAAGGCGCTCGTCCACCATGTCCTGATTTTCGACTTTGTCGCTCCCTCCGACAGCTCCATGCCCATTCCCCAGGGCATCATTACGATTCCGCCGATCGAGGCTTGCAAAAGGACAACACTGAAAACTGTCATGTGTGACATTTCCTCTCTCCTCCTCGCCGAGATGACAACGCTGGCCAAGTCGTTCGAGGCCATGACCATCATCGAGTCCCCCGGCAGCTCCTCCGCGGCACGACAAGCCAACGGCACGTCGTGGGGCGGTGACGAGGCGGGCACCCTCTCGAGGCGCGCCTCGCAGCACGTCATGCCGACGAGCTCCCGATCAAGCTCGACAAGCGGCCTGCCCGATCGAGGTCTCGCGCGCATGTCCATGCCTCCCGTCTCCTCCAAGACGTCGTCCTTGCCCTCCAGCAGCTCCACGCCTGATGGCCCCTCGACACCCGCACGGAGCGGCCTCTCGAACCCTCCCACGACATTTGACGAGATATCCGGTGGCGGCTTCAGCGACCCCTCGACACCAGAGCCAAAGTCGGCCACGCGCGCTGGGACCGACGAGCACAGCCGAGCGCAGAGCCAGGACCGGGTCTCCATCCAGGGCTTCGGGCCCGGCGGCATGAACGAGCGGTGGCGCAACAAGGGCCGCGGCAGGGTCCTCGTCATCCTCGGTTCTCTGTACCTGCAGGCCGGCCGCTGGAGCGATGCTCTGAAGGAGCTCTCCGAGGGCGCGACGGTGGCGAGGTCCATCAACGACCACGTCTGGCACGGCAAGGCGCTCGAGCTCATCGTCGTGAGCCTGCTGCTCCTGGGATGGGCCCGCATTGAGTTCCAGGTGCCGGCCGTCTGTCTGCCCCAGGACAAGGCGAGCACGGCGAGCCTGGCGGCCAACGACGCCGCCACGCCGGACGACCCCTTGCAGCCCAAGTATCTGCGCAAGCTTCAGGTCGCGCTGCCGGATCTGCTCGAGCGCATCATTGGGCTGTATTCGAGGATATCTGCCGAACACCTGCCGCCGCTCCCGGCAGCCGAGGTGACGATTCGATTTTGCAAGCTCCTTTCTGCCCTGCACTTTGCCGACGGCAAGCTCGGAGACCGGGCCTTTGAGATGATGGTCTACGGGAAGCTTCCGGAGAAGCCCCTGACCACAGCACCGCGTCTGACCATCTCGCCGACCCGCCAGCAGATTGTGAGCCAGCTCTTCCGCGCCTTCCCCTCGTCGGCGTCAGAGCTCCTGACGGTGATTGATCGAGCTACGATCCTCGCCGGCATCGCCTCCGTCCTGGGGCCTCTGGGCCACCAACGAAAAAAGGCCATGGTCCTTCGCGAGCTCGTGTCGGTGCTCATCGGCGGTCTCGTCGAAGCCCGTACGCGCGGCGCCGCGGACGTGGGCATCCATCCGGCAGCGGGCCTCGTGGCTCTCAACGCAGCACATGGCCGCAGCAACGGCGCCATGGCTCTGGAGCTCGGCGAGGGTGATGTCGAACAAGGCGTCGACGCCTTTCTCGGCATGCTCTGCAGGTCGTATGGTGTCGTGGGTTACGAGATGCACAAACCATCGGCGGAGACGGCCCAGGAAGACGCCGCGCTCGCCCGGATTCAGGGCCAGGCAGCGGCGCGGTTCTTTGGGTTTCCCGGCATCAAGCTTAACATTCTTCGAGCCTGCATCAACTTTTCCGAGGCGCTTCCCGATTTCAACGGCGTGCTCAAGTACTCGAGCGATCTGCTGCGGTCAGCAGGGTCCGGCGTGGCGCCCGGTCCGCGTCGCGAGGATGCCTCTTCGTCGATATCACGTGAAGAGCAGATGCGGCTGGCCACCAACATCTCCAAGACGTCGAATCTGACGAGACGGCTGGGCCTGCAGCACCTCGCAGCGGAGTACTGGGACGAGTTCCTCGTTAGAGACGTGAGCCTGGACCTTCTGCCGAGCACGAGGATTCCCGTGCCCCACGCCAAGAGCACGCTGCCCGGCGCGGCGGCCGCGCGCACGTCGCAAGACGTCAACCCTTTTATCTACAACCCGTTCCTCAAGGAACCCGACAAAGCAGCCATTGAGCACATCCTGATGGCCAACGAGCCGGCGACGTTCAGGGTCACGCTGCAGAACCCTTACGACGTCGAGGTGGAGATTGAGCATATCCGCCTCGACTCGGAGGGCGTCGACTTTGCGTCCTTCTCCGACGCCATCGTGCTGGGCCCCTACCGGACGCAGGTCGTCAAGATGACGGGCATGCCCAAGGCGGCCGGCGCGCTGAGCATCACGGGCGCCGTCGTCCGCATCCACGGTTGCCGCGAGCGGAGCTTCCCCATCTTCAAGCAGCCCTACGCGCCCGAGGGCGAGGCCAAGGTCAAGGCGCTCGGTGCGGCGGCTCTCGAGGAGAGCGTCGCGTCGGCCGTGGCGAGGGCGCCTCAGCTGGCGACCAAGACGATCGGGCTCCACGTCATCGCGCCGCAGCCCATGGTCGTTGTCAAGTCGACGACGCTGCCGCAGTCGTCGGTCATGGTGCTCGAGGGCGAGAAGCACGTCTTCTCCGTGACGCTGGAGAACCTGTCGGCGACGACGCCGACCGACTTTATGCTCTTCTCGTTTGAGGACTCGACGCAGGCGGCGCTGCAGGCGGCCATCAGCAACCGCGACGCCACGCCGGCCGAGCTGTACGAGTACGAGCACATGCTCGTCAAGCGCCAGGCGCTGCGCCGGCTCGACAAGACGACGAAGCGCTTCATCGCGCCGGGCGCCACGGCGACGTTTGCCTTTGAGATTCTCGGCAAGCCGGGCCTGACGAGCGCCGCGCTGCAGATCGACTACGCGCACCTCGGCGTCGCCCCCGAGGCCATTGTCGACAAGTTCCACACGCGCCGCGTGTCGCTGCAGCTGACGGTGACGGTCAACGCCAGCGTCGAGCTCGCGCGGCTCGAGGTGCTGCCGCTGCACGGACGCATGCCGGCGGCGCTCTGGCCGTCGCTGGGGGGGGCCGGCACGACCCTAGAGGACGAGGCCTCGTCGTCGGACGACGAGTACTGCCTGCTGACGATGGATCTGCGCAACGCCTGGCCGAGCCACGTCAAGGTGACGGTCGAAAACGACGACAAGGACGACAAGGAGGGCGACAAGGACGGCGACGGCGGCACGACGACGGTGGAGGAGCACATCCTGCCGGGCCACACGGCACGCGTGGTGATGCCGCTGCGGCGCGTGTTCCTCGAGGACCCGCACGCGTCGATCCCGGCGCTCAACCCGTCGCGGCAGCGCCAGTTTGTCGTCAGCACGAGCAAGATTCCGCCCGACGTCGAGAGGGTCAACCGCGAGGCGTTCTGGTACCGCGAGCGCATCCTGCGCGGGCTCAGCGCGCGGTGGACGACGACCTCGGGCCCGCGGCGCAGCGGCTTCGTCGAGCTCCGCGGCCTGCGGCTGACGCCGCGCATGCTCGAGGCCGTCAAGATTGACGACGTCGGCGTCGACATTTCGGTCGGCGGTGCGGTGCCGTCTGGGGGCAGCACCAGCACCAGCACCAGCACCAGCAACGAGGTCGTCGTCGACGCCTTCTCGCAGCTGCGCGTGCGCGTGACGAACCGCACGGCGCAGGCCATGTACCCGCTGCTGCGGCTCATGCCGTCGCTGTGCCACCGGCCGCTCAACGTGGCGCTCGACTTTACGCGCAAGGTCAGCTGGAACGGCACGCTGCAGCAGGCGCTGCCGGTGCTGGGGCCGCGCGCGACGACCGAGGTGGTGCTCGGGTTCACGGCGCTGTGCCGCGGCGCGTTCGAGGTGACGGCGTCGGTCGAGGAGTACCAGGTGTGGGAGGCGCCGGCGAGGGAGGCCGGCGACGGCGGGACGACGGGTGCGACGGAGACGGAGAGCGCGCGGCGGCCGCGGTCGGACACGCAGGTGATGCTCGACGCGGCGCTCGGCGTCAAGGAGCGGCGCATCTGGCACTCGCGGCAGCCGTGCGTGGTCGTGGCGAGGGACGCGCCGGAGTAGCATGGCATGAGCATGAGCATGGGCGGGGGCATTCATGAGCACGATGACATGATGGATGGATGAGCGGAGGCGCTGTATTGACTGTGTTGTTGTGGCATGTGGTTGTAGCGTTTTCTGTGGTGTGCCGAGGTGCCGTTCACCGAGTTGACTTGCTGTGTCTGATGTTGGCTGGTTTGAGGTTGTCTCGCGAGTCGGCTGGTCTTGTCGAGGGCAAGTTGATGGCCGAGAAAGTCCATACTGTGGTCAGCAGCGCATCAGCTTTTACTACATGTAGAGGGTAGAGGGTAGAAAGGGTCATCAGCTTCTATTTTATCTAGAGAGTAGAGACGGCCATGAGCTTACTTTATCATTTGAAAAGTAGAACGGTCATGATCTTACTTAATCTAAAGAGTGAAACGGTCATCAGCTTTTGCTTGTTCTAGAGAGTAGAGAAGGCCGTTACCTTATTCTTTATCCAGAGAATAGAGACGCTCATCAGCTTTTCCTTGGCCATCTACGACCAGGCTGATACTCCGGATAGACAAGCGATGGCAGCACGTAGTCTACCACAGCTGCTCTTGGCACGGCCAAGGCATGGTATGCTATATTGGCTGAGGACGAGAAGCAGAGACTCGGCACCGGGCTCAACGTCTGAGACGACTTCTCAGACATTGGTTCGCCCTAGGTTCACCAATGCCACGGAGCTGCTGAATGTCTGCCGGTGCTCTGGATAGGGCGTGCGCGGGTCGTGCTCTCCAGACATTCGCCTCGACGCCATCAGACTCTGCAACGCGGCCGGAATTGATCCGCTCATACAGTCAACCAAGCATACTCTACATCGATTGTCCTCTGGCAGTGCACGACGTCATGTCTGTGAAGCAGCTTGTTCCGCGTCCGCTGGATGATGATCCGTAGGCACGTCGATTGTCACGACTACACCCATCGTATCTGAGGACGACGGCGATCCGTACAAAGTCGGCAGACTGCTGGATAGACGTATAAGATGGATGTCCGGACGACGACGGTTGTAATTCCTCGTGAAACAAAAAGACTGGGATGTGAGTCAATGAGTGGATATATCGGGGGATATGCTGTGTATAGTGAACGACGTACTTTATGAGTATGAGGCTGAGCATCCAATAGTATACGGAGATGCCGCGACAGGTACCTAGAGAGTAGAGACGGTCATCAGCTTACTTTGTCATTTGAAGAGTAGACAACAGTCTTGCTTTTGCTGTATCTAGAGAGTAGAGACGCTCGTCAGCTTTTACTGGCCATCTAGAAAGTAGACAACGGTCTGAGCTTTTACTTTGACTAGAGAGTAGAGACACTGATCAGCTTTTACTTGGCATCTAGAGAGTAGAAACGGCCATCAGCTTTCCTCGGCAGCTTTACTTCATCTGGAGAGTATAGAGAGTAGAACGGTTATCAGCTTTTACTACATTATCTTGGAAGTATAAGACGTCCCTTAGGTTTTACCTGGGCATCTTGAACGTAGAGACGGCCATCACCTTCCTTATCATCTAGAGAGTCGAGAAGACAGCGGCAGAAGCAGAGTATGGCGTACTCGTGATGGCGCGGTTGACTGGCTCCGAGGCTGGCCGACGTCCACTTGTGAATGAAGTGATGGTTGATTAATTAGCAGTTGGCTCTTTAACCAGTGGTGTGCATTTCTGGCATTTCTGGTGAATTTGTCCAGTCTACTGGCGATTTGTCCAGTCCACTGGCGATTTGTCCAGTCTACTGGCGTCGCGAGTCATCACGAGGATGGACAAAGCATACCCTCAGTAAGATGCCATGATCAGGCGCCGTGGTCATGTATGGGCAATCGATGGCAGCATCTCCCAACTGATTTGTCCATACTTGTCCATACTTGCCATACTACGCAGACGGCTATTCATGGTACTCAGTGTCATGGCAGCAGTTCAGGTGATCTGGCGCAGGCGTCCTAGCAGACCTTTATAGTTGGGTACTGATCAGTCAGTCTACATGGTCACGTCTTCTGCAGAGCATACGCATGTTGCCGTCCAGGTACTCAATCAAGTTGCGATGAACCTTACGGGCATTCACCATTCACAGGCTCACAGGTTCACGGCATGGATAGACATGTCCAATGTCCAACTCTTGTCCACCACGAATCAATTGATTCCATCGTCAAGGTTCGCCGCTTGAGCGTCGGGGCTAATCCCGGCGCTACCCGACCGACTTTTCTGGAGCCCATCTCGACTTCTCTCCTCATCTTCTCTCTTCATCTTGACCTCAGTCGACTTCTCTCTTCACCTCAGTCGACTTCTCTCTTCACCTCAGTCGACTTCTCTCTTCACCTCAGTCGACTTCTCTCTTCACTCTACCTACTTTACCAATTTCACCCACTCACCCACCCAGACCGCCCAACACGGCAGCATGAGGCCGCAGATCCTCTTCCTCGATGCCTACGACTCCTTCACCAACAACATTGTCTCGCTGCTGACGACGCTGCTCGACGCCGACGTCCACGTGCTGCCCATCGACACGCCTCTGCTCGACCCTCAATCCCCCGACTTTGCCCATGCCTTTGGCCGGGAGCTGGCTCACTACCATGCCGTCGTCTGCGGGCCCGGCCCCGGCTCGCCCGACCACGAGGCAGACGTAGGCCTCATCCGCGCCATCTGGGCTCTCGGCCACGACGATCTGCTGCCTGTGCTCGGCGTCTGTCTCGGCTTCCAGTCGCTCGTGCTCAGCGCCGGCGCCCGTGTCCGCCGTCTGCGTCGCGGTCTGCACGGCATGGTGCGCCCCATTGACCACCACAAGCCCGCCGCCGTGGCGCGCAAGCTCAAGGGCGACATGTTCCACGCCGTGCCGCCGTTCAGCGCGACGCTCTACCACAGCCTCTGCGCCGACGTGGGACAGGACGCCGTGCCGGCGGCCGCGTGGCCTGCGCGCCGCTGGGATGCGCCGAGCGTTGCCCCCGACCTGCTGCCCTTGGCCTGGGCCAGCGAGGACCGAGGCGACCGCGAGGCCAGCGAGAGGATCCTCATGGCCGCCAGGCACCGCGCCAAGCCCTTCTGGGGCGTGCAGTACCACCCCGAGTCGGTGTGCACGCACGCCGCCGGCCACGCCGTGCTCCGGAACTGGTTCCGCGAGGCCATGCGCTGGAACGCCGAGGCCCAGCGAGACGTCGTCACGGCCAGCGACGGCAGGCCCCTTCTCGCGAGACATGCCACGCGGCCGAGCCTCCTCTCCCAAGTCCGTCGCCTCGCCGACGAGCACGCCGCCTCGGTGCCGTGGACCGAGACGACGTCGCCGCTCGCCACCGTCGGGCTCGACTGCGCCTACACGCGCAAGACGCTGGCGCTGCCGCCACACCTCGGCGTGCCCGACCTCGTCGAGATGCTGCGCCGCGGCACGGCGGCCTCGTCCGAGCACATCATCCTCGACTCGGCCAACGCCGACAAGCTCGCCAGCGGCGCCGCCGACGTGCGCGGCCGCTACAGCATCATCGCTCTCGACGTCGACGAGGCCCTGCGCA